AAAACCTGCAGTGTCTTGTGTCTGGACCTCTAGGCCATGTCCGGTGGGGTGAAAGGACACTTAAAAATCACCCCGTTATTTTTCGAGGGGCGGCTGCCCCAGGGGCCTCCATCCGGACATGGGGACCGGACACTGGACACCGAACACCGGATTGTCTGGAACCTGGTCCGGATGTCCAGGCGGTTACCATGATACAGAGCAGATTGATTAGCATGGCCCCGGTGCAAGGATGACACACATAAATTGAGAAATGGTCCAAATAAAATAAAGTAAAAAAAAAGAAAAAGAAAAAAAAAAAGAGTTGTTTGATTCATCGAAATGAAATTGCGTACGGTTCAAGATTGCATAAGAGGCATTGAGTTGTGTTGCCCACCAGCATTCTGAGACGCGTGTTAACGGAGAATGGTGAAGCGGTGGGTGTGCTGATGCTGACCTGCTGTGCACCAAGGGTTTGAACGATTTGAACGCCTTTGAGCGATTTGAGCGCTTGTTTGCATGGTACTGTTTACCCCACAGTTTTTTTTTTTTTTTTTTTGAGTGCTTGTTTGCATGTGCTGTTTAGCTTTTGTTGCATGGAGTGGGTGGGACCACCTTGCAAGCCCACAATAAAGTGAAGGTTGTCCAGAGTATAAGCATTTAGAACCAGGGTAAACATCTGGAATCGAATCCGTTCCTTGGAGGAGGGTATACGATATCCTTTGTCACTGATGCACACCACATTATCAAGATTTGCAGGCTGCACTGCAGGGATTATCCGATTTCATCTGCCGCTTGTTGGAAAGAAAGCATATCGACACCGGCTGCGCACTATCCGTATGCTAGTGGAGCAACCCAAGTCCCAAGTATCTGCAACATGTACCATAGCTGTTGCTGGCATAGTATCTCCAGACTATGGACTGCAGCCCACTATCTCCAGACTACGGATTGCAGCCCACCCACCCTGGAATCACTATCTCCAGACTATGGACTGCATCCCACCCTGAGATAACTATCTCCACACTACGGATTGCAGCCCACCCTGGGATTACGATCTCCAGACTATGGACTGCAGCCCATCCTGGGATTACCATGAAGGATGGATAACGGTCGTACTATTCGATGACAAGATGCTATGGAATTGATTATTGCCCATGCTAGTACTGATATGGCCAACTCTCCTGGACTGGCCATGCATGGGTCTGTGTGCATCCCATGCGTGGACTCCTGTAACAGACACAAGGGATGTTCTGGCTGCTTGCTTGATCTATATTGCAATCAACCTGGTTGCATGCTTCATAAATCTGATCTATATTGTGGATAAGCTTGATGGGTATCTATCTATCTATCTGATCACGGGTGTGCTATTTATGCGATGAGAAGAGTCCTGCTGCTCCTCCATCTCTCTCCTTCTCTGAAATATTTGATTGTGGATGTACTATTTGATCACAAAAAATCATCCTCTTTCACTTCTTGCCTTCCTTGTCCAGTGCTTCTTTTCTTCCATGTCTTCCCCTTCTGCTCTTCTCCCATGTCTTCCTCTTCGCCGCCTCTTCGACATTTCCAACTCCTCTCCCCGACTCGGTGTCCTCTTTATCCATCCCCACCTCTTTGTTCGCCATCGTTCTCTGCTGTTGTTGGATTTCCTCACTCTCTGCGCCTCGTCTACACCCTCCTACTATGCCCCTCTTCTGCTATGGCCTCCGCCGGGATTGTTCTTGTGCTGCATTTTTTGCCTGGGTTTGTGCCCCGACACGTCTGGCTAGGCATATCGTCATGCTGAATTGGCAGGATTGTGTGCCACTCTCGCTCTCAGGTCGGGCCTTCCACTATTTCCAAGAAATGATTGTATCTGTTTATTGACTCTGTTCGATGAATGTGAACCTTTGTGTGCCCTACAATGAAGCTGTTTTTTCCAACCCCTTGGCTTCTTTACTTGACTGAAGCAGTCTCTCTGATTTGGTATTATCACCTTGTTTGGTTTACTTTCTTCTTTTTTTTCTTTTCTTTTTTTKTTTKGGGGGGTGGGGTGGGGGTGGTGGGGGTGTTGACTGTTTTGGGGTTGAGTGTTCTGTGAAAGCCCCCAGGCCTGAAATGGATAGCAACAGGCTTCTGCATCTGTTGAAACAAGCTGTGCGGTACCAGATTGAGTTCAGCAGATATCATCCCAAAGTTTGTCCGCATGTGACTACGTAAGTCAACTCCTTTCTCTCGCTTTTGTCTCTGCCCCTCCCCAAATTTTCTATCCTCAAGAACATTCCAGTCTTCGAAGCGGAGGTGAGGCATATAGGGACTGAGTCCAGTGCTACTAGCTAAATGTGGGAAGATTGGCGAGTGTATTCTAGAACTGGAAAGATGCACCCACCGCTTTTAATAATTTGGGGAGTGGCGGAGTCAAGCTCATAGGTGAGCTGGCTTCTTTTCTCTTCAGTTTAGGATTCTGGTTTTGCAACTGAACACTATGTTATCGCTGCTGCTTGTGGTCGTGCAAGTGGTTCATTTTCACTTTTACTCCCTTCGGCAGTCTGAGGAGATGTTAATGGCTTGGTGTTCTTGGTGCTTGGTTAATTTGCGTGTGCATTGTCAGCTGGCACCCAGTGTCAGCTGATGTTCTTTTTTTTTTTTTTTTTTTTTTTTCTTCGGGACATCTGACGTTCTTGAGTGTCTATGATTGGCAAGACCATATCGAAACACTGATTTCACACTCATTCCACAGGCTTTTCGACACCATAGGAAAATGCAGAACATGGTAAACAGCTGTTGTAAATGGAAAACATGGCTTTTGAAAGGCCCAGCATGTCCGAGCCGCAAATTGGTTATCTTCCGGGTATGGCTGCTGATGTATTATTTGTACCCCAATGGTCAGTCTTTCGTCAAGGTATCCATGGTTACCACAGTACATAGGTGCAGTTTCGTAGACCAGTGGGTGTGGCGGTGGGTTTGATGTACGAAAACAGCGGATAAAAAAATTCAACACCAGTGGTTCAGCGTCAACAGGGGGGGGGGGGGGGGGGGGGGGGGGGGGGGAAGTGTCGGTAGCATTTTGTCAGCCGATCTAATGGGCTGTAAATTTCAGTAGCATTATCATGTCAAATGAAGGCAGGAGTAGTGACTCTTGAGGGGCCAAACATCTCATCCACTGGCATTATTTATTGCACATCAGACTTACATATAAAAAATGGAAGAAGTGATTAAGTGGCTGATTCTGCACCCAAGTGGTGCCTTCTATTGAAGCGCTGTTGTGTGATGACACGCGTATTTTGATGTTATTGCTGTCCTTGGAGATCATCGATGAGTTGCCTAGCAACAGGAAAGTTGCTAGCATGGGTATCTTCTTGTCCTATTACCAACAAAGTACAATGAATGCGAGGAATGAGCCCTTGCGGGGCCCTTATTTGACATAAAAGTGTTCTGGGCTGCGGGCCCCAGCAAGCCTCGCGCCCGCCCTAAGTGAAGGCGGGCCTGAATATCCATGCGAGGCCTCTTTTTTTTCAACATTTTTCCATATGTGGGGTATCAGACAGTTGCAGCACGCCAGTTGGTTACAAAGTAACGTGAGCCTTTCCTGGCTCCTCTCAGAAGCAACAGCTGCGCTGCACAGTTGAGCCCAGGGCCCTGATGGGTTGGGCCCTGGGCACACAGTGGGAGGCCAATACATCACGCAGTGGCCGCTGACGAATGAGAAAGCATCATTGTCGTCACACAACCTCAACGAGCCAATGAGAATGCGGCGAACACTTGGAGCCTGGACGGCTGCCTCAGAGTGCCCAACTGTAAAGAGCCCAGGCCGTAACAGCAGAGGTGGGCCTGGGTGCAGACCCTGGGGCCCGACAGGAAGCTACTGGAAAATTCCCCGGCCAGGCCCACGCAGCCAGGCACAGGGCCAAAATTTCCATAAAGGAAAGTGCCCTGCCCAGGCAGCCGCATTCTTGCCTAGGCAGGCATAGCGGCCACGCTGCTGCATTGCCAAGCGCTGCTGCGATGGCGCTAGCCGGCACGGGCGCAGGAGGTGAGACAGCGGGTGCACGGCGGCCATAGCCGGGCCGAGCGTGTGGTGACAGGTGATGGCGATGGTGGTCTTCAGGTAGGAGGTGCATGCCGAGGGGAGTCGGGGTGTGATGAGGGGAGGAGAGAGAACGCACCTGGTGTATGCGGGCGGTTGGCATTGATGATAACGTCACGTACATTGGTCTTCAGCTTCGATGTGATCCAGTTGCATCAACGTAGATAGGTGTAGTAGGCTGAGTAGCGTAGGCTGGGCGCTGGGCGCCAGACTGTAGGAGCGACTTTGGATACTGTGTTGGTGTGGCCAGAGAGCGTCGGCATTGGCACACGAGTTCATTGTATTGCCCTTATTTGGATGGTATCTTGCTGCGTTGTGCCCTCTGCTTGGTACATGACTATCTGTGCTACTTTGTGATTTTGGAGCTTGGATTTCTGTCTATCACCCTTGCTCATATTCCGTGCATGAATATATGGAACAAGAGTGTTAAACCACCAGTACCTCCACGTTTTTAGGCCATTAACGCGGTGGCTGAATCGGTGCGCCGTGCAGGTCAATATGCATTTGCATCAGAGCCTCCCCAGAGGGGCCCAGTACACGGTCCCAACCTTGCTGAAACAAAACTCGTCGCTCGTCCGAAAAAGTCGGGGCGTGACAGCCGTTGATAAATTCAATCGGCGGCCTTTGTCACGTTTCGGCCGCTTGAAGCAGCCCGCGTCCAATGTACGGCATGTACCGGTAGTTTAAGACTGGGCTCCCTCCGTACCTTTGAAAAGACACGAGGGCAGATCCACTGAACCACCGTCGTTATAGTGGAGGTGCATCAGGTGGTGCCCAAACTGGAGTCTGCCTGGACCGGGTCTAAGCTCAGGGCATATCCAGTCAGGTGCACTAAAACCTAAAACTAAACCAGGACCAGGAAAGATGTCCAACGTTCCAAACCCCTCTACCACACAGCCCAGCTTGACAAGAGCCTCCCTGGACTCCAGTGTTGTGTGTGTTCTTGTAGTGGCGTGATCTTGTCCGTCTCGATTATGGGCTCTGTTTGGTAAGCTCGCGCATCCCGATTCCTGATCAGTGTGTTCATGTTGGATATGAATTTAGTTTTCACGGGCTGGTTCCTTGCACAAACAAGTACACTAAACAAATCAAACAACTTGAAACAAGCATACCAAATTTCACTCAAAAAACCATTCCAGATGGAGTTACAATATGTGCACCTTTGGGACGGCCGTTAAAATTGAAATGATACAGAGAGGATTAGCATGGCCACTGCGCAAGGATGACGAGCACAAGTAGAGAATGGGTCCAAGTTGACAGAATCACAGAATGAAGAAGAAGGAAAAAGAGCACAGATCATTGCACACAGAATCACAAAAGAGCACTGATCATTGCACACAGAATCACAAATGAGCACTGATCATTGCACACAGAATCACAGGTAGGACAGCCTGAGCAAATGATAGTGTGACCAGCTGACCGGAGAACACCTGCATGGTGAGACAATTATGCAGCACACGAGTAGATACTAGACAGGTACATGTTGCAGACCAACGGAGATGGACGTCTAGAGAGGCGGGCGTGGATACCTTTTGGGGCACCCGGGCTGCCTCTGGCTGCCCTGAATTGCTTGGCGAGGCAAGGGCCCAGCCAGCTCCCAGGCAGCTGCAACCCCCCCCCCCGGAAAAAAAAAACACAACTTTTCGGGAAGTTTTCGCTGAGGGTTCTCTATTGGATCGAAGGTAAAAAGCGGGGAAAAGAGGCACACCCCTTAGAACCCTCTCTGGAGTTCTGAACCCCATTTATACCCGTCTGCCCCCCAAGTTCCCCAACCGACAGCACTGGAAAACAAAAAGATAGTTCGATTTAGGCTGCTTTCAGTGGGCGCACAGAAACGCCCCGTCAATGAGAAAAAACAAAACAAAAAAAAAAAACCCCCCTGGACGGTCGAAATGCTCTAGGGGTAGAGTTGCTCGGATGGCTGGCCAGGTCTTCGAGGTAACATAGGAGGAGGCAGCTTACAGAAAAGGAAGCCATTGAAAGTGGGTGCATTACTGTCTTACCCCGAACACCACTCACTCCTATCATGAATGTAGACAGGCTATTTTGCTGGTCTGGTGCAGTCATTATGAGTGTGCGTTATGTTTGGGGAAAGATGGTAGCGAGTCGGACATTGGGCAAAGGTAACACAAGACTGAGGGCATAGTCTCACAAACACTTTTTTGCCCGTCTCTTGGATGGAATTGCAGCCAGATGCAGACAGGCCCAGCTGTAAATGTGGTCAGATACGTTTAAGATGGTGGTAGTGTGAGTACGCCCTGACTCAGCAGGAGGATGGCATACACCTAAAAAGTTGTCGCTCCTGCAGTTGGCGATCATGAACGAGAAGAAACACAGGGGCTCAGCCTGATGAGCAAGAGAGGGAGGTGAACCGGAAGGAGGAGGAAAAAGAAACAACATAAGAATCGTTCTTGTCGTCGACATCATTGTCCTCGTCATTATTGTTATCAACTCATCATCATCATCATCATCATCATCATCATCGTCATTGTCATCAGACCCGTCACCGTAATTAAATCTCTATCAGTCTCGTCGTTCCTTTGCATCTCAACACCAACCCAAACATAAAAACAGAAGTATGAATGGGAAAGGTGGAATAGGAAATTGTACGGAAAGCTGCAATATATATATGTCCATGGTGGATCTCCCGGGCTTAAAGTTTCTGGAAAAGAAAAAAGAAAAAAGGAAAGTCCATGGTGCAACCAAGCAAAAAAATTTTGCGAGCCAAACTCTACGACTATGGAAATATATGGTTGTATGCTGCTGAGTTCTGGCCTTGAAAACCACCGCCAAAGCGGCCAAACAGAATTTCCGATACGAAGGGCTGTACATGAGAGAGAGGGAGGGGTGTGTGTGTGTGTGTGTGTGTGTGTGTG